ACCACATCCCAGATGTTGCAACAACAGAGTGAGATAAGACGAAAAAAGACTTGTCATGTATCATGTTGTATCACACCGACACAGATGGAGCTAGACATCACATAAAGCTATCTAAAATGTGTGAACAAATAGATAGCACACTTTCCCCGTCACAATTTCCATCCAGCCATTCATGACAAGCATATGCAAATTTGATTGTTGTGTTGACATCAACTTAGGATCCATGATTATAAAATGCATGAATTTATTATAATAATGACCCTTTGCTCATATACATGTTTTATTCCTAATGCATAGTGTGCATATCATGCATATTGGTAGGATATATATTATTGTATCACATACATGACCTTGGGATAATGATATCTCACTCATATACATGATACATGGATAATCCACTTTGTGCATACTGGAAGGATATATATTATTGTATCACATACACAACCTTGTGATAATAATATCTCACTCATACCATGATACATGGATAATGCACTTTGTGCATATTGGTAGGATATATATTATTGTATCACATACACGACTTTGTAATAATGATATCTCACTCATATACATGATACATGGATGATGCACTTTGTGCATACTGGTAAGATATATATTATTGTATCACATACACGACCTTGGGATTGTGATATCTCACTTATACACATGATACATTTATAATGCACTTTGTCCATATTGGTAGGATATATATTATTGTACCACACATGCAACTTTGTGATAATGGCATATTGCTCATATGATTTGCATATTCACAGCTGAAGTTAAGTTGTTGAAAATTCACATGTAGGTTATACTATCGTTGCATCACACATGCATACGTGATAATGACAGGTTAAATTAACTGAACACAGTTTGATTGAAGCTTGTTACTAATAGCCCTGCGCTAATACATTTCATCTCTTGTACAACCACTGCAAGATATAGCTTGGGCAACATCTGTTGACAAGGAATAATGCTGGCATATGCAACATACAAACATTAGCTCCAACAGAAATCATAGAAAAACAAGGTAAAAAGTGAGCAGGGCTCACTAATACCCCTGTCTTCAACACCAACATATTTCAAAGTTCATAAAATGAAAAATAGCTTTATTTTTTCAGAAAATCCAAATATTGGAAACAAACTTCAAACTGTACCCCAAATTGGAAAAGAATCATTAAGTAGTATTCTAGTTTTAGGTCAGACAAATGTTTCAGATAAAAAATATAAATAAAAAATGAAAAAGAGCTGTATTTTTTCAGAAAATCCAAATACTGACAACAAATTTTGCAATGCACCTCTAATTTTAATTTGACCGTTAAATACCCTAGAAAATGTCTCATCACTATGATCACATAATATACCCAAAATAATATAAACCAGCCGGGCAGTCATTAATATTATTCTTCAAAGAGAATCATTTCTACAACAATATATACATCATGTACATGGCTACTTGCAAGTTGACATGAAAATCAAAATGCACTAAACAAAACCAGGTTGCACCCTGGTCCCATACATTTACATGTTGAAACATAGGTCTAAGTCTAAGAAAGCATGACACAATTTACACAAAACAGGCATAAGTGATGGTAAATGGTAAATGTGTTCAAAGGTCGATTTTGTATGGACAAGTAAGGGTTAGTCCGACACAATTTGAATATTTTTGGCATGTATTTAGTGCATGTAGACATAAATATAAGGATGCAGTTTTCAATAATTAGTTGCACTGGTGCATGTTTTATATAGCGAAATCGAGCCCTCTAAAGTAATATTACAATATATCTATTTCTACTGCATCAAATCAAAGAAGACTTGCAACCATCCCATGAAAACTCATGTTTCAAAACAAAGCAGCTTTCTTGAATTATTCAAATGTCCAATTTCAAAACAAGAATCAGAAAACAATTCCTCTCAAAATGTCCACAGGCATCCTCATCAACAAACTGTTGTTGCAGTCTTGAAGTATCACATGAAAACAGCTTTTTCCATCAAATCTGGATGCTAGCTTGTTTGGTTTCTTCCCAGACACAGTGACGTAGTTAACAGTTTCAGATCTTGCCTAAGGTAGAAATGACATCGTGCTTGACAATCAAATGCTGATTCATCGTTTTGTTGCAAAGGTCAGCAAACTGTGTCAGTAGAGTCATGTTATTTTGATGAATATTTGAACAGGTGCTGGGCTTTATACCTTGGTAAGCAAATGATAGCAACATTTCAGAACACTAGGATTCAAATATATATAGAACCTCAATGCCTAAGAATAACCAGTCTTGATTATTCCTGAGACAGATTCCATTGTGTGTAACAGGCAAAACGTGAAACTCAAGGACAACAGGTGGTCGAGTAAAGGGTAAGCATGTCCTGCCCTACCGGTACCACCAGCCAGTCACACAATTTACATAAAGAAGTAACTGTTTGACAAAGACAATTCAAGCAGCAAGTTTTAGGCACATTAGCTTTCATCATGTTATCTAATGCCTGCTTGAAAAACTAACCCACTCAAGTATATCCATGAACATTTTATGTTATCACTGAAATCCTAGAGCCTTATAAATATGTGCCACATCCAGAATGCACTAAGACACATGCATGTGATAACTTCTATCTGGGTTACACAGTTGTTTATAGCCAGCCTCTGTTGTGCATCCTCCTTCTCCTCCTCCAGAAAGCATCTCTGTGGATCTCAATGGCTTCACGTTGGTCTATATAGGTCCGTTGCATACTTAAGGCATGTTCCTGACATCAATCATAACCGTTTGAGTAACGTGTAAGTTGATACATGTTAATGTCTTTTTACTGTGTCTGTGCCATATCACTATGATGGTAAGATGCCAATAGCTTTTTTTAGAAATTTATGTTCTGCTTTCCAGAAAACAACATCAGATATGTGCCTATTGCAATTCCAAAGGCACCAATAAGTTCAAAGCATAAAGATGAAACACAACGCTGGGTATTTGTATGTGAAGACCATGGAGGACTATAAGAGCATCTTCAACCACAAACACCATAATTACCGCAGGACCTTCCAAGAAAGGGCCATGAACTCTCTGGTAAAAGCCCATTATATCCCTCTATGGTGGGAGATCTAATGATCCCTTCTAGCTGGGCTGATATCAGACTTGTAGCCAATCATTTGGAATAACAACACCCTTATCTTTCAGCATACAACATGTAACAAATCTGCCCCTACTTCACCATGCTACATATTGATATTTATATGTATTATTTCCCATGGGCTTTTACCAGAGAATGAAGCATTGTTCAATCATATTCATGTGGCATGCCATAAATAGTATATGTGTGCTGTATAAATGGTATAGGTTGTATGGTGCTGCAAGGATAGTCAAACTATGTTGCACTTCATATAATGCATGTGATAAATTCTACATTAATACAATGTTGCACTACACCATGATAAATTGTGCATTCATTCAATATTGCACTGCACATAAAAAAACTGTACTTTTATACAATGTTGCACTGCATCGTGACACATTATCACATGAACAATAATACAAGTTATGATAATATATCACAACCTGGGTTACTAATCCTGTGTAGCTAGCTGCTTCATGCATCTGGTGCAAAATGTAGATGTATGCTTTTACATGCATCCTACATATTAACACTAATCATTGGGCCAAAACATAATGCTTGCATTTTACTTACAATATGTCCTTAAAAGTTTAAAATTATCAGGCATATATATAATTAATAATATTTCAATCTCAATTTTCTTTACAACTTGTTACAGTATCGAAAAAAATGTCAGGGTTGAAAAAGGGGGATCTGTGGTTCCACAAACACAAGTATTGTTATGCCCTAATGCATATAAACATAAACTATGCATAGACTCTGCCTTGGTTGTCACTGACCTCTGGATATCACAAAGAATGATAATGAGCATCACACACATCCATGAAACTCACTTATATGGAGTCCTGATGCCAGCATTAGTGGCCAGAAGAGGTCCAATGTAAACAAAAGAGGATGAGGCATGGAGGAAGTTCTAACAACAGAGATTAGCAGGGATGTGCAGGCTGGAAGCCATATATCAGGGTGCAGACTGGCATAAATATTTGCACAGGATGGTTTGTCAATGCTGTGGTGTGGGAGGGGAACAGCATCTATTTCCCTGTGATGGGTCAGGGGAGAGTCAGACATCTTTGTCAGAGAAGTGGAAAGGTGGACGAAACATATCAGATGGGGTTATGGTGAGAGCGGATAACTTGTTATGGATGGTGAAAAGGGTTGGATACTTTGTGGTAGGGATGTCACGATACAGATGTCACACAATACAACATTTTATCTATAGACTCACTCATAAAGGTAAAGGTCAACTTACCAATACCAATTAACATGACACTTAGTCAAGTCATATATTCTGTATGAGAAAATAATAAGAAACAAGCAAGTTTACGTACTGTATTATGACAGAAAGTAAGGAAAAGCTGGTCAGTGTTCTTTTGGGCTGTATTCGTATCCGAAAGACAAGAAAGTAATGAGGAATTTAATAAAATAGTTTGTACTTGTTTATTGATATCAATGCGAGATCAACATGGACAACCAATATGGGGTAATGTGAATCGATGCCAAATTAAGCGTATCAGGTATCGTATTGTGCCAAGTTTGCCAATGATGCACCAGTGTACAGGTGAATCGTGACATCACTACTTTGTGGCTGATGGAGAAAAGGGGTGGAAAATTTGTTGTTGATTACTACTTTGTGGTGGAAGGAGAAAAGTGGTATATACATTGTAGCTGACAGGTGGGAGAAGACACCAGTTATCAATTTGATGGGTAAAGGAGTATGACACATGTGCCATTCCTGTGGCGGTTGGATTCTAAACATAAAACATAAACAAAATAGCACATACACCAACATGCACACTGCGGGACTAAGTTGTCCTGGGTATTTACACATCAGAGGATTATGCAGAACCCACACACTTCCTGGGTGTTGGCACATCAGACAAATGAAGACTACAGTTGCCACCTACCTCCTCGTAAAACTTGAGCTGGGGAACTGGGTCTTCACACATATTGTTGCAGAAATCCTTGAATAGCAAGAATCCTGGAAGAAGAAAACAGACATTCTTAGCATATTCATCTTCTATTCATGGGGCAGCTTCATAATCACATGTACAGACCTAACCAACAAGTTTTAACAAAAATATCCTTTAAAAATGTGCCTGATGAATTACCCCTCGTAGCCAAAGCAGCATTCATTCTCTTGCTGATAAAACACTGGTGGCATGGGTGAAAAACAAACATATCATTTCTCCATGGTTAAGATGTACAGCTTCTATGGCTGTTGCTGTACTTGTGACATTGTGGCTGAACATGTGCATGGAACTAGGGATACTTATATCATTTTATTATTTGGGGGAGGGGGAGAGAGTCCAAGTGATGAACACTGGCGGCATGTGGCATCCTTTACTTCATGTCTGAGAACATACCGAAGTCACATCATTGCACGTGCTCAGAATGCTTAAGCCTTTTCAGACGGGAATTGCAATGTCAGATTGCACAACATCAACCACTGGCTCCCTGAACTGAATGTATTTCTATCCAGAATAAAAATGTCAGTTATATGCAACATGCAGTCTGCAGTTTTGTTTTGTTTGACTCAAACAGCCAAATGTTTTTAAATCCCAAAGGAATCTCAACGTAAATTGCATCCAATCACAATTCGTATGCGTACATGCTGCAACATATTGTGTCCCGTAAATCCTGAAGGAGTGAGTGAGTGAGTATGGTTTTACGCCACTTTTAGCAATATTCCAGCAATATCACAGCTGGGGACACCAGAAATGGGCTTCACACATTGTACACATGTCGGGAATCGAACCCGGGTCTTCGGCGTGACGAGCGAACGCTTTAACCACTAGGCTACCCGACGGCCCCAAACCCTGATGGAACATATCTTGATTTCCACCCTGTGTGTGTAAGTTAACAGCTTGGCTTGACAGACCAACACTGACATGTAGGTCTGGGTATTGGAGGGCCCTTTTCTGATACGATACGTATTGCAATACATAAAAACAATATGCCATACGTACTGACAATAAACTGTCTTCACTGGTCTTCACTGGTATGTGTCAAAGGGATGTTATTTGCATATGGTGCAATGATTTCATTTATTAATAGTCTTACTGTCTAATATTCAGTTTAATATATAAACAATATTTTAAATGAAATAATGAGAAATTAAATTTTCAAGAATCTGATTTCAACAAACAAATCATTTTCAAACAAAACTTTTCATCATGCTCATGTTACCTTTCATAGAACAAAAGCAAATCTCCACATTGAAACATCATACTAGATAACTAGTAAAATAGTCACTGCATTTCATCATGTTCTGAGGGAATTTTCAAATAATTTGTAGTGACATCATCATCATATGTTCATCATACAATAAATATTGTTCCAGGTTCTCTCTTGTTTAATTAGCAACAACTAGTCATTTATTTACTGCAGAGTGAGTGAGTGAGTGAGTTGGGGTTAACGCCGCTTTTAACAGTATTCCAGTTATATCGCGGCATGTCAGCTTAATGTGGGAGGAAAGCCTGAAGTGATGCAGGTCTCAGACGTTGACCACTTCGGTGAAACCCACGAGCACAGGTATGCTGCTGACAAACCTAGAAACATAATCGGGGCGAACAGGGATTCGAACCCACAATCATAGGTTTCTGGCGTGCCCAAGGGACGCAACTCTGCACAGCGAATCGCGGCACCTTAGACGACTGGGCCACCCGTGCCCCCTATTTACTGCAGAAGGCGGGGTGTTTGCCATGTGCAGCAGCCAGAGAACGTTGACGAGTAACTGGAAGTTGAAAAGACTGTTGACTTATTTACAACGAGAGATCACGTGCAGTGTTGTGAGTATGCAACTTTCTCTTTCGATTGATTGAATCAACTATCCTGAAAGTTCTTATTGACATTTTTAGGTACGGCAGATAATGTAAATTAAGAAATACAACATTTTCCATTTTTGTTGGAGAAAATGAGGGTGTCAATGCAGACGATACCATTGAAAGCGTGACAGTAAGAAGTAAGCTATTTACAATCAAGATGAATATATGTCGATGCGATATCTTTGACAACCATCGTGGAATTGCAGCCTAAGTCATTCCTGTAAGTTCGAAATGTAAGTTCTTTTTTTACAAACTTATGGTGTTTGTAAAATAATGTTTATTTATCTGATAACGAAGACAAAATTGTTATGGATGAGCAACTTCTTATTACAATTGGGCGAGTATTTATCTGATACTAGCCATGACTGAAACGGTACATTGTATCGGCATCAGGAACCAATGACAACCTGTCAACTAACTGATCCAGGCCGACTGACAAGACTGTAAAGCTGTAAAGCTGTAAAGCTATAAACATACAGTTCCAACTTTCTTGCTGCACATGTGCACAGAAGATATCTTTATTCCCGTCTGTGTATCACGCATGCACGAATACGGTGTTAGCATTGGGCATCTCAACGTGCGTGATTCCCGTGCACCCTTTCAAGTTGAGTTGATTGGTTCAACTGTGTCATATGGCCCTGTGACGCAGGGGTAGCATTATGAAGATGGCTGTTTCAATGAATGCTCGTTCCACCCGTGACGAACAGGTCTGGTTGTTGATGAAATATAGTGATAGCTAAATAGACAGATTTTTTATTCATGCACAGATTGTCTTTAAATGTGATATCCAGTTATGTATGACTGTTTAATAATCTCATACCAGCTTTGACTGGAGTAGGTCTGATAGTTTTACAGATATTGTAGTAAACGTCGGTACCTTAAATTACCTTCCAGACTATAGTTGTTGCTAATTAAACAAGAGACAACCTGGAACAATTTTAGCCAATGAATATTGACTTGCATTTTATCATTTAGTTTAGCTATTAGTGATACTTTTCTTAGGGTATTCAGTTTATTTTAACTCTCTTGCAGCTAGTCAATGAGTAGACCTACCGTATTCGACGTAATAAGCGCCCCGCTCTAATAAGCGCCCACGGCGATATTTGCTAATATATTGGCTAGTGAACAATCTCAATTAGCACCCCTTCCGATTGATCAATGTACACAAGACTTATTTATTCGTGTATAATATGCACTCGTGTGTTATATGTACCCTTAATTATGGGCATTTAAGTCCTGGAAAAATATATCTGTCGTATATAAACATTTCAGGCTGTCAGCATAAACCACGAAATCTGCGATCTTTTAACTCTGAATTTTTTCATTAAAATAATATTCTTATAAGAGACCCCTATTTCTAATTTTGAGAGCGCCCTGGGCGCTTATTGCGTCGAATACGGTATTTAGAAACATAAATACTGCTTGAAACTGTTTCAGGTGACTTCTAATCTGCATTTGTCTATGTGATGCCCAAATATATTACATATCGCAAAAGAACACAACAGCGATAAATGTCTGAGATATAATAAGCCAGACGTAGCACTGTTTTGCATTATTAACTGCAGCGAGTTCATGTAAACATGATGCCTGCCTTCTGTCAGTAAATACAGATCTGTAAAAACCGGAACAGAAGCCGAAAAGTCTACATTGGCTGATTATGCAGTGTCATTACACAATTGATTTTTTTTTGTGTACCAAGTAACACAAAGTTAATTGGGTTATGGTGATTTATTGTAGGAATCTTACGTAAATACTCACCGTACCTGAAATTCACTATTATAACCTGCCACTTATGACACACTAGGCCTCTACTGCCTCTTTGTCATCTGCATGTCTTTAACTGTAACTTCTTTACCGTGTACTCAACCCTCAAATCTATTGTCATCAATTGAATGTTTCTTTTAAATATCCATTTGTTTGTATTTCTGACTTCTGATTCTTTTAAGGAAATTAACCTCAACCTGATGATGTTTCTCAATATGCCACCATATAACCCTACCCCAATGGCATGGAATGTTGCTCACACTGACAACCATTGGTTTGCCTGTCCCGGACAGGTCGTCATGACACAGCAAGAATAATGCTGACTTCAGCAGAAAACTACATCACTCACTCAGCATAGTGAAATCTGTAAGCCAAGGGGTTCCTGAACCAATTCATGAATAATTGTCAATGACTAATTTGAATGGAAGCCTGAGTGAATTGTCCCAGCCAGCAATTTCAGCAACTGTTCTAAAGCCCAAGCCAAGGAACATGTCTCTCCATCTCCAGCTCTGGAGGTTGAGAAGAAAAATTTCAAAATGATAAAATCGGCTCATATTGACTCCATAGGTTGCTTGATATTATCTCAGTGCATTTTACCTGAATCTTGTTCATAATTTATGCACCTGCATAGCAGATTGCGGCAGATTATAGCCATCTTCAGATAATATTCCCATTGAAAGTCCACTGCTCCAGGTCACATAATGAGCAGACGTTACCCAAGGAAGAACATGCTATTTAGCCCTCTAGGTCCTCACAAGGTTAAGTCGTATAGAAAACATCCTGGCAAATTCATCCCTTGAGGTAACAATAATTATGTTAAAACTTCATTAAACTATTTCATCAACATGGACTGTGTATTCCTTGGATTGTATTGATGAACACTGAATCTTAAAATCAAAACACCTTAAAATCCCACTCGTTAACGACATTGACACTGGAAACTTCATACAAGGGTAACAAAACTGACATTAATCCAAGAGTTCTGATTGGATAAAGCCCATTCCACAGGAAAGTGGGCAATTTACTCGTCCCAAACCGAAATATTAATCATACGGTGAATTTATCGCTCAAGAATTTTCATCAGCGCCATCTCGTAGTTCTACTTCCTAGCCTGGTCATTTCCTGTGCTGGTCATGCTGGGGGTGTGGAGGACATTTCATCCTCTACACCGTGTCAAATGGTTGATCCCAAGAGAAATGCCATTGATTGCAGCTTCATCATTAAGGTGTCAATACAAATCAGTTCAACAGGCACAGTATCAGCACCAATGCTGCCCCAAATTAGTCCTGTCATTAGTGAAAGGCATTTTCATCGAAGTCCAGTTAAGATGTAAAAATAACACCCTCCCTTATTGTGGTAGTCCAATATCTTGATCCACTGGCATCAGGGT